AAGCATGAGGCCTTTCCTCTGAGCAGGGACAATTTCCCCAGGAGGCTTCATCCACCTCGTTAAAATCCTTGAGGTTGGGAGAAGCATTGGTTCCAAACAATTAAAACCAAAATCCTTAAAAACAGTAAATTTTTACTTAAATATCTTCTAAATGTAACACCACGTCAGCTTCATCCATTGTTAAATTTAGTATTTTAAAGCGTGTCACTGTGTGTGGAAACAATTTGTAGGTCACATTTTCTCACTTCAGAAGAATCCCCAAGCTCCCATGAATGCATGATATTTGTAGAGAAAGCAGGGCCAGCAGCAAATCAAACCAGTTATGTGTACCCAACCAGCTTCAAAAGCTAAATTATAAAATTCTTTTCAAATAATTTTACAGCCAAAATATATATATCTACAGTTGGGACATATCCGCATTTTTTCTTGTGGTAAAAAGCACAATATAAAATTTACCATCTTAACTATGTTTAAGCGTACAGTCCAGCAGTGTTATCTATATGCACATTGTTGTACAACCGATCTTCAAAACTTTTTCATCTTGCAAACCTGAAACCCCATACCCATTAAATAACAATTCTCCGTTCTACTTCTCTCAGGCTAGAACCCTGGCGACCACCATTCTACTTTTTATTTTTAAGAGTTTGACTACTCTAGATATCACATATAAGTGGAATCAGGCAGCATATGTCTTCTTGTGAATGGCTTATCTCACCTGGCATGATGTCCTCAAGATTCATTCATGTTGAAGCATGTGACAGGATTTCCTTCTTTTTTGAAGGCTGAGTAGTATTCTATTGCGTATGTGTGTGTGTGTATCGCACTTTCTTTATCCATCCTACCTCTTGGCTATGGCGAAAATGCTACAACGAACATGACTGTGCAAATATCTCTTGAAGACCCTGTTTTCAATTCTTTTGGATATACACTCAGAAATGGGATTAATAATTCTATTTTTAATCTTTTGAGGAATCTGATGTGGGTACATTTTTATCTCTTTATTTCCAGTTTTACCAATATATAATTGACACATAACATTGCATTAGTTTTAGGTGTACAACATAATGATTTGATACATGTATATATTATGAAATGATTACCGCAAGTTTAGTTAATCTCCACCACCTCACAGTTACAATTTTTTTCTTGTGATGAGAACTTTTCATATTATGAAATGATTACCGCAAGTTTAGTTAATTTCCACCACCTCACGGTTACAATTTTTTTCTTGTGATGAGAACTTTTAAGACCTATTCTCTTAGCAACTTTCAAATATACAACACAGTATTGTTAACCGTAGTCGCCATGCTGTACTTCACATCCCCAGGACTTGTTTATAACTGGAAGTTTGTACCTTTTGACCACCTTCACCCATTTCATCCCCCTCCCCCGACACTGGGTGCATTAAACGTTTATCAGGATGTGGAGTGAAGCCCTTTCTTACATAGGTCCAATAAATAGTGCGATGGGCAAGGCATGCAGTGCACAAGCTCAGGAGTTCCTGAAGTAGACTTTTATTTTTCTATCATTCAGTGTAATTGTGATTGAATCCTCATTTCTCATCTCAGACAATTTGGCATCTGACTCCCTTCCTGGGGTAGCACCCAGAGAACTCACCCTTATCTAAGGCTCTTTCCTAGAATCTGGCAGAGGAAGGGTGGGTAGCTGGTCCTTCCCAAGCTCCTCTGATCCTCAAAGACCCAGATGCTGCACCTCAAACACTCTTTTCTTTCAGAGTTACTAATCTGCTGTGAAGTTCAAAGGCATGCACGGAAACTCAAGAACTGCATCCTGTTCTGTATCAGGGAGCATTATGATTTTCATGAGTCCTAGCACTTTTGACTGGCATGGATAAAGACATTAAATTTATATTTTACAACTACTTTGATATAAAGGTGAACACGATCCAGGATGAATTCACTGTTACATAGTCATTACTATTATATTCATTTTCTCTTCTGATTCTAAAAGAAATAAAAACATTTGTGTGGGTCCCTAAAAATACTGTATGGGCAGGGATCCTCCATTCAGCTGACCAGAGGAAGTTCAGGGTGGGAAGGAGACCCATATGCTACACTTTAAAACGTCAACTCACTGCATTTCCAGCACCCAAGTCCACTTGGCCATATCATTCCTCTGTTTAAGTCTAGCACAAGAAAACATCTAAGCTCTTCCCCGGCAGTTAAGGTCCTTCATTGGCTGATTCCTATCTGCTTTTCCAGTCTCATGTACCATAAGCTTTCTATACCTCCCTCTTGGTTGTTTCCAGAACACCCAGCCTTCACCACACCTGCACACCTTTACTTAGGCTGCTTCTACCTCGTCCACGTCATTTGTACCTCCACATCCTTCCAGATTGAGCTCAAATGTCGCTTCCACTTTGAAGACCCCAGGCCCCATCCCTCCTTTATTCATCCCACATTCATTTCTCTGCTATAGCACTTAGCCACCCTGCTACCTCCATCTCCTCCCTTCGACTGCAAACCCCTTGAGGGCAGGGACCACGGCAGGTTTTTTCTTTGGGTCCCCAGTGCCCAGCACAGGGTCTAGCACACAGAAGGTACTCAATTAATGAGGAATACGTAAACATATGACTGAGTGAATGAATGAATGAATGAGGGGATAGAAAATGAGAGCAATGGTCTGCTTAGTAAAGGGTTTCCCTCTGTAGCTCCCCAACAAATAGAGGGTCTGGGCCAATAGTGGAACCAGAACTAAGCTCCCCTCCCAACCCTGCCCTCTGACTCACCCTCTCCCCAGAGGCTGGTTTCTGGGAATGGCTGGAAGCTTGGCTCGGTTCCCTGGCTGAATCCTGTGTTGACTGTGTTCTGCCCCAGGAGTCCCCATGCTCAAAAGCTGTGCTCCCAAGCCACAGGGCCAGGGGTGGGCAGTGCAGAGGGAGGGCCTCACATGTCAGCAGGGATGAAGTTGGGGACAGCAGCCTGAGACTGACTGGCAGCTCCCACGGAAACTCCTTCCTTCTTTCTGAAGCGGAATACACTGTAGGATTCTGGGCACATCACAGTAATCTCACGGAGATGAAAGTGACAGCACCTACCTCACAGGTTGTCATGAGAACCAAATGAGAAAACTATGGGGGTATCTAGAGTCCAGGTGGCATCTAGTGGGCACTAAATAGATGTCATCTGGGGTGTTACATGGATAAATTCAAGACCCTGCAGTGTATACTGTCGCTCTGGTATACCCAGCACCTGACCACCTCTACTCAACCCAGGGCCCTCCCCCTCCCCCACCCAATCTTCTGAGGTAGGTCGTTCCCGCACAGGTACTGACAATGCTGTCGCTGGTCTTTCCAGCTTTGTGGTGATGGTGATGGGGGTGCAGTAGTCCAGCAGTTGTAGAGGCACCACCTGGCCCCCAGTATTGGCATGAGATGAGGGGTTTGTGGCCAGGGCTGACAGGGAGGTGTATGCCCCAAGCCACTTCTGGCATGTGATTTGGGGCTTTGTTCCTAGCTGAATGTGGCCTTTGGATTTTGTTCTCCGGCCCTCCCAGAGAATCTGTGACACACTCAATAGGCTTCTAATGGAACCCTTTCTGTTTAAATTAGTTGGAGCTAGTTTCTGTTGTTTAGAACAAGGATTCTCTAACCCCTAGGGCATGGACTGGTACTGGTCCATGGCCTCTTAGGAACTGGGCCTCACAGTTGGCAGGCTAGCTAGTGAATTTCAGCTGTATTTGAGGCCGTTCCCCAGTGCTAGCATCACTGCCTCAGCTCCACCTCAGATCATCAGGCGTTAGATTCTCATAGGAGCACAGGTCTCTGATGTCAAAAATGTTGGGGACTGCTGGTTTAGAACCTAAAACCAGGGTTGTGTGGCCCAACAAAGCTAAGAGGATGTGAGTGGCATCGTTAAAAGTCTAGTGTCCAGAAGAAGTTAGAATTTGATCTGTTCCTGTCTGTTCTGTGCAGCACAGAGCACAGTAGAGAGGCCCAGCTCCCACTCTCAGTCTGGAAGCTACCATACTCCAGTAGGGCCCATTACAAAGTGAAGGCTCTCTAGGGAACAATGACCAGGTCAGTGTGGGGTCTAGAACTCATGGTGGGGGAGGGGAAGGGGACATGGAGTTTGATGTTGAGTAAGCTGAAGGCTCTGGGAAGAACAGCCATGGTTTAGGCCCCAAGGGCCACTCTGGAAGCTCAGTGGGGTGGGGATCCAGGAATAGTTTGAAGATGGTCAGAGATGCCTTTGGAGGAGGTAAGCTCCCTAGCACTGGGGGTGAGCAAGGACTATATCCTGAAATGGACAAAAGAAGACTAGCCTGGGCTCCCCTGGCTTGACCTTGGTGTGTGTCTCTAGGCTAGGTGAAGGGATTAGCCTGAAGCAATACTCAAAGACTAGACTTTCATCTCTCCCTGCCCACCACCCACCAACTAGGCTTAGTAGCAGCAGCCCACGGTGGAGGGAGTGAGCCCTCAATCTATGAAGAAGCTAATAATGCTTCTTTTTACTCACCAGGTAGCCTGGACAAACCTAGAGGTAGGGAGTGGAGGGGGTCATGCCTGAAGGACTACCAGGCAGGAGGATAAATCTCGGCAACCAAGGATGACTGAAAATGGCCCTGATAAACCACACACACACACACACACACACACACACACACACACACAAGCCCTAAGTACCCCGAGAATCCATTATTTTCCCATTGCTTAGATGATGATCACAGATTGGTGAAGACATTGGGGGATGTGGGAGAGCTGGCACACTCCTGTATGTGGGTGGCTGTGTACACTGGAACCACCACTGCAGCAGGAAATTTGGCAAATCCTGCAGAAATCCCCCCACACATGTCTTATGGTCCAGGGATTCCATTTCCTGGAATTTATCTTTGGCTGCACTCGCTCACATGCAAAATGATGTTTGAGTCCTGCTATTGTTTGCTAAAAGCAAATGCTGGCAACAACCTGCCCATCCACTAGCAGAGGACCCATCAAAAAGATGATGGTACATTCACACGACGAAAAACTGGACAAGTGGCAAAGAGCATGAAGGTACTTTATACAGATAGACATGTACAATTCTACAAGCTGAAATAAGTGAAATTGTAAATGTAACCAGTAAGCTACTATTTGTATATAAAAGAAAAAAAAATTATGTCTACTTATGCATTGTAGACAGTCTGTCTCCAGGAGGCACAAGAACCAGGAATAGTGGACGCCTCAGGGGAGAGAATTTGTGTGGTTGCGAAAGAGACTGACTTCATTTTTCATTGTAAACCTCCAATATCTTTTGAATTTGGAAAAGTGTGCATGTAGTGTATAAATAACAAAATAGGAAAATAGGAAAAGAAAATAATGTAACAGAAAATAGAAACTGTGCTAGCCCACCTCCATCCCAGTGTCTCCTGGGTACTTTTGGCAGGTGTCAGTGCTCCCTCTTTGCAGGTGATGAAATGGAACCAGCTCATTGAAGTTCAGAAAGCCTCCAAGCATCATTCAGTAAGGGAGTGGTAGAGTTGGTTCTGGGGCAGTTGTGCAGTTGTGCTTGGGGCAGTGCCCTCCTGGGAAGCCAGCTGCCCAGCGCCAGTTACTACTGTACCAGCCCCAGGGCTGTGACCGCTAGATCTGGAAGGGAATCAAGAAGGGGCAATTATGGAAACTCAGTTCTAGACAGTCTGAGAGAAGGATGGTACCCCAGTGGAAAGGTGGTGGTCATGGGTCATGGAGTCCTGCAGTACTAGGGAGGCCAAACCTGGCCCGGGCTGGGGCCAGTGGTGTGACCTCCAGTAAGTAATTTTTTCATATGTATGCCTGAGCATCTCCTCCAGGTTCTCACTGTGGGAGATATCGGAGGTGTAAATTAGGTGATAACAGAGAAACCCCCTCCTCCCAAGGATATTCACAAAAATAATCCAAGTCTTCCAAGATCGGGTTGCCCTTGCTCTTACTGCCTCTTTCTGGGTCCAGGCGGCTCTAACTCAAACACCCATAATGTTTGAAAATTCGTCTAATTTTTCATTCATTCAGCTTACACCAATGCAGGGCCTACCTCCCACGCGCCAGGCTCGGGTGGCCAAGGCGATCCTCCTTGCACGCCCCCCGCCCATGTGTCCTCTAACAGGCCCCCGCCTCCAAGCATATACTCGAGCCCACAGCCCCCACTCGCCGGGGTACTGGCACTCAGACCGCGCCCACCGCTCACACCTACCCGTAGCGCCGGCCACTTGGCACCCAGCGTCTCCACTCGCCTCAGGGGGTGCCTCTTGCCCCACCGCTCCCGCCCAGCATCAGAGCCTGGGAGCAGGCCCCGCCCCTACCCAGCCCCAGGCAGCCAATCAGCACGGCAGCCCGAGCCGGCCCCGCCTACCACAGGGAGCCCCAGCCAACGATTGGCCTACGCGGGAGCTGTGTCCCCCCCCGCACGTGGGGCGGGGGCGGGGGCGGGGATGGGGGGTGAATGAAGTGGAAGCGATTTTTTCGCCCCCGCGTTTACCTCCCTCCCCCGGCACGGTCCGCCCCCCAGGCGCCCTGTCCAGTGCCCGCCGGCCCGCCCTCCGGCTGCCAGTTGCACCGGACCCTGGCGTCCGACTCCCTCGCGCGAGGACCTAGCGTTGCGGACCGGCGATGGCCAAGCGCAGTTCGCTGTCCATCCGCATCGTGGAGGGGAAGAACCTGCCAGCCAAGGACATGTGAGCGCGGCCGGGGCTGGGAGCCTCAACTTTCCGGGGAGGGGCGCTGCCCCTTACGCCTGATTTTTCCGGGGTCCACAAGGCCCGCCTACAAGTAGAGGAAAGGCCAGGTTGTGGCTAGTGTGGTCGCAGTGGGAGACAAGCAGGGAAATGGGGACAGTGAGAGGATTTGCTGCGAGCACCGGACAGGGGGTAACCGGGAAGGGCCGGGGGCTTGGGAGGGGCCCGGGACTGGGGAGGGGCCGGGGATCTGTAACAGGCCTTAGTGAGCGGGCAGGGAGTGAACTGCGGTTCTAGAGAGGAAGGGGCTTTGACAGGACAGGAGCTGGGCGTGGAAGAGACATCTCAGGGAAGACGTCTGGGTCACTGACAGGAGTGTGACTGGAGTGCACCCCCTTAGAAATGAGGAGTCTTCCTCAGTGACTTCTGAACCCTTAGTACCCGGGAGCGTTCACCCTAAACAAGCATGGGGCCCAGGGACTGTCCTAGGGCTTCCTGTTGTGCATTTGGGACTGACGTGAAGAGTGGAACCATAAGTCAGGTCAGGAGGCCAGGACCAGTGCAAGGTGGGGTGGCTGGGGGGTAGCCGTTTGCGCCCTCGGCTTTACGAGAGCCATCACCTTTAATCCTCACAACCACTCAGCAAGCTAGTTCTCATCATAACAGTTTACAGAGGAGGAAACCAATGCTCAGACATGGGAAATGCTGGCTCCAAGTGCAGAGCAAGGTCTTGAGTCTTGAGCTCCTAAAAAGCACTGGCATCTAGGGCTTTTCCCGGCTTTGAGATTTCAGGAGTCTCTTGTCCCACCTTTCTCAGTAGGTCCCAGAGCTGATCAACCCCATTTAATCCCTGGCTCCCTTGTCTGCAGACTTAGGCCACTCCCTGTCGCCGAAGCCTCTTTTTCCCTTCTGTAAACTGGGGCTCAAAATCTCTCTCACATATGAGCAGTGAAATGCACAAAGCTTGAGGGGCACTTGCTGCCTGGAAGAGGCAGAGGAAAGGGAGCCCGGAGGCAGCATAAGGTCCAAAGTCTGCTTGGCTGGAGCCTCCCCACACCCAGGCTCTTCAGCGGGCTCCTGGATGCAGAGGTGTCTAGATGGAGGGGGATGCGGTGCTGGAGGAGGGGGTGACAGCATCTCTCTCACAGGGACAGTGGCCCCACTGACTTTCCCAGCAAGCTCAGTGCCAGGAGCAGTTCCAGTTCAAGGCCCCTTGGGCCTCATGAGGCCATGCTCAGCAGTTGCCATGGCAATTGTGGAGGGAGGGGTAGGGGGGCCTTCTTAAGGTGCATTAGTGTGTGTATGGGGGGTGGGGTGGGGTGGGAGCTAGGATTGTGGTTTCTAGGATGGGAAGGCAGATGGGCCCTGAGAAGGGTCTCAGCCTTCAGGCCCAGCCTCTTAGCACTCCCACACTGGCATCGTAACTAGGTCAGCTTGGCCTCCTTTGGCTGGTGGCAGCTGGGAGGAGCAGCCCCTCCGTCTGTCTCCTCCCTCCCTATCCCCTCAGTGCTCGCCCTAGTGCCTGGCTCCAGGCTGCCATCAGCCCAGGGAGGTAAAGCTGTAGACTGTGCCTACCTGGGAGCCAAGGCTCCTGGTTTCCAGTCCAGCCTTGCCTCTGTACAGCTGAGGGACTTTGGGCAAGGTGCCACCAGGTCCTGTGGGTTCTGCCTTCCAATCTCTTTCCTTCCCCTGCCCCCTGCCTGCCCCATTCACCTCCCCTCACCTCCTTTCCTCTGTTTTTCCCATAGCGACGACTGTACACAGTTCTAACCTGTCAACTATCTTTTAAATCCATATGTGATACATTTGGGATACTGACCTTCCCAGCCCCGCTTCTTCGTGTATTTGGGGCCTTCTGCTTTCAACTACTCCCCTATAGAGTTCTCCAGAAAACTCCTGTTCTTCCTTCAGGACTCCTCTCAAATATCTCCTTTCCAGGGCTTTTCCTGGCATCCTCGTGCACTTGCGAGGGCACTCCCTTGTTCTATACCCTTCAGCACTTTGGGTCAGCTGGAGTTAGAACAGAGCCCGTGGTAGCAATTGTTCCTTCTTGTGCAATTGGGCTGCTTGTGCCTCATGACTGTGAGGGTAGGAACCGTGACTCATTTGTCCTGACATTCCAGGTGCCCTGAGGTACACCTGGTTCATAATAGGGGAGAATAAGAGGTGTTGAGGACCTTCCCATTTAATCTTCTTATTAGTCCTATAAAGTAGATATGCTCAGTTTGCAGGTGGGAAAATAGGCTCAGGATGTGGAAGTCATCAGCCAAGGCCACGCAGGTAGGGAGAGAAGCCAGGATTCAAACCCACTCTGCTGCTAACAGGCCAAGAATCCTAGCAGGACCAAAGTTGCGTACTTGCTGTGGGACTCAGTGGAGAGAGCCTCAAAAATGCCACATAAAGCATTTGGCTTCAGGATGGCAAGGGTTTGGAGATCACAGGAAGCCCTCACTAAGAGCCGTAGGCAGGGGTGGTGGTAAGCCCGCCTCACTGTTCCTCATCTACCTCCAGCCTGTCTCCTGAGTGGCATCCCTTCCAGCCAGGGCTTGCACACCTCTGAAAACAGGGAGCTCATAGCGGCCACCTGCTTCCCTGCCACTTCTACTCATGGAGTTTTAGTTCTCTTAAGGGCACAGAGCCAGCTGTGGTCCCTGTCACTGACAGCTCTCAGAGCCTGCCTGTTTTTGTCATGCTCCCTCTCACTGTCTCCCATCCTTGGGTGCTTGGGTCAGCCAGAGAGGAGCTGAGTCTCATGGTGACCGGTGACCCACTGGCTCCTATGCCCAGTGGCCCTGGGGACGGGCCCGGGGCTATTTCAGGGTTTGCCCTGATCCTTCCCCTTCTACAACCTAGAAACTGCCAAGGCCCTAAATATAGAGGCCTTGCAAGTAGCCAGGCTGGGCCAGTGCTGGCAAGTGGCTTGAGGAAGGAGAAGTGAGAGAGGGGACCAGCCCAGGGGCCTCAATAGGGCAGAGGGCATTGGGCAGGGCACAGGTTTCAATAACTGGCCGGAGACCATGATTGGGCCCAGGTCCTTAAATCTGGCTTTAGCCCACTTTTGGCATGGTCCCCTTCATATCCCTTGACCTAGCCATCTAGCGCATTGCTACTCCTGCACACAGGTTTTGTTCCTGCCTCCAGGCCTTTGACTACCTTCGTGACCCTGCCTGCAACAGAAGCCCCAAACGTCACTGTTCATTCATGATTTGTCCATTGAGTGAGAGCTGTGCAGTGGGCAGTGCTGGACTCACAGGGATACACAAGAGGTTCCCTGCCCCCAGGAAGCCCCAGGGGTCTTCAGGGCAGGAGGCAGAAGCAGAACAGAGAGGGGGTCCCTGTGGTGGGGGAATGGCCCACAGAGGTCTCAGCCCACACTGACCTCTCCCTTGTTCCTACAAGTTCCTCGTTTAAATACACATACATGTCCTGGCCCTTGCTGCCCAGCCCAGCATCTGGGGTGCACAAAGACCTATTACTTGAAGCCTGGGGTCCCCTGGCCGTGGGGAGGTAGGATGCAAGCTGTGGCATTCGCAGTGGGCTCTCTGGAAGAGAGGGATCTTCAGTGATAGGAGAGGGCTGCAGGCAGAAGAGCAGGGCGTTTCAGGTGGGCTAACATTGACTGAACACTTCCCATGGGCTGGCCCTCATCTGCGTCAAAGACCCAGGGCAGCTGTCTGGGGAACTTTACAGAGGGGAAGCTGAGTCTTGGCAGCCATTTTTGACTTCAGGAGAGCCTTTAGAGACATTGGTCTGAGTGGCTTCCTCTTCCAGAATCGCTGCTTTTGAGAAAGGAAGCTGGGCTTATAATTCCCCAACCTCCACCACGCCAATATACTTCCTTTCTTTGGACGCTAAGCTTGACGGGAACTTGTGGAGACAGTCCTCACCCTGCTACTTGCCCAGGACCAGCCCTAGGCCTGGCTGGGGCTGCCCTCAACTCCAGTCCCCCACCAACCTGAAACAGGTGGGACTGGACAGTCCTGGGTTTGCTTTTCCCTTCCTTCGTTCCTAGATGGCCGGGAGCTTGAGGGCAGACTTTTGCATTTGTTCATTTGTTCGTCCATTCATTCAGCACTCATGAGACCCTGTCCTGTGCCAATCCCTGTCCTAGGTCCTAAGAACGCAGAAGTGGTCTCTACCCTCAGGTTGTTTGTAGTCGGGTCAGGGAGGCAGCTGACAGGATATCACTAGCTGTACTGGGATGGTGGGAAACATACTGGGAAGGGGGCAGGCGGTGCGGTCACAGGGGAGACCTTATTCTCTGCCTCTGGGACATGGAAGGCTCTTAGAGGAGAGGCTGAGGCTGGGAGTAGTGGAAGGGCAGTCCAGGCAGGAGGAATGGCAGGAGCAAAGACTCAGAGGAGAGTAAGAGGCTGTCTGGGTGTCGAGGGTATGGGTATTGGGAGCTGGCCTGGGGCTGTTGTGATTGTTTTTGTCCTCCCTGAAGCCAGGCAGGGGTGGGCAGGAGTTTTTGTGCAGTTTCCTGCCTTTCCCTCACCTCCCCTATCCCAGACAGAAAGTGAGGGCACATGTTTTGGCCTGGGGAGCCTTTAGGCCCCAGCCCAGGACTGGATGCCTCAACGTTGACTGT